ATGTCTACAGTATGAAAACGTTTTTCTTCGAAAGTTTTGGCATAAGGGGTAAACTTATTAATACGCCTTGTTAGGACTACTTGGATCACACTCTATAAAACATATGTATAAAATTCTTAATCTATTTCACCATACTATATCTATTTTTTATTGTAGCAAAACAGAATGGCAAATTTTAAAATATGTCCAGTGGTCAATCTTTCAAATACATCTGCTAATTGTTCTATTAAAGTAAGGCTTGTTGGTAAAGGTTATTTACGCAGCATCCGTACCGGAGGAGGAAAATTCTTCAAAATGGAATTGCAAGACGCATCTGGAGTAATAGATGCCACATCTTATGGCGATAAATTTTTTGATATGCTCGAAGTCGGTAAAGTCTTCCTGATCCGCAATTTCGAAGTAAAAAATGCCCATGAAGAGTATAATAACTTAAATCATCAATATGAAATTAAATTTACAAGTTCGACTCAAATCGATCAATGGTCGGATGAAGGTGTCCCCGAAATAACGTACAATTTTGTAGAAATATCCCAAGTGGCCAATGTGGGATTCGATTTGATTGGTGTATGCCATAATGTTGGTGAAATACAACCGTGCGGCCAACGCCAGAAACGTCTCTTGACTTTGGTGGATAGAAGTATGGCGGCGGTAGATGTAGAAGTATGGAATGAGGAGGCGGCAAAATTCGATAATAACCAGCATCCAGTTGTTATTGTAAAAACGGGCAGATATAACGAATATTTCAGAACTGTCAGCACAAATAATGCTCTAATTATCGATCCTGACATTGAGAAAGCTAATGTTTTAAAAAGTTGGTACTCAAAAGGTGGATCGGCGAACATTTCCAGCAACCTAAATATGTAAGTAACATAAATAAAATTTAATATGTTAGTTATATTTATTATATTGACTTATTCTTTTCATACATACACACACACACACATTTCTGTATATATACAAGGTTCGTTCGTTTACTTTCCCAGTAATATTTACTCAGTAAGAATTTGCAGAGAGTAAATACGAATTTTTCCTTCTCAACAGAGAAAACTGCAAAAAGTAAACGAACAACATCCAGTAAAAATATTGTTTCGACACAGCTGATTTAAACAACAAACAAAATTGATGTTGTTTGTTCCCCACAAACATTTAAAAGGGTTGTGACCGGTAAGTTTTAAATATTTATTTGGAAATATATTGATGTTTACAGATTCGGTTCGCCAATTATTCTTCATCCATTTTGGTATTTAATGATACAAAATCAAAATAAAATTCACAAAACAATCAATTTTCTTGAGAACAATTTTTTTTTTGTTTACAAAACATAACAAAACAGCTGATTAAATATCAGCTGATGGTACAAGAAAATTCTTACTGAGTAAGTTTTCCTTGTAAGAATTTGCAAATACTCAGTAACACAACTGTCAAATCTGCTCTCTCAATTCACTCTCTTTTACTGGGATTTTGGGTAAACGAACAACATTTGGTAATAATTTGTACAAATTCGTACAAATTATTGAGTAAACGAACGAACCTACAGTTGTGTTTATTACAGGCATACCATGGCATAACTATACAATGTAGTCTCATTTAAGAAATTGATTCAAATAAAATGAAAAATCAATTTCAAATAAAATTAAATCCATAAAATGTTACGAACGGCGATTGGCAAATTTTCAACAAATTAAAAAAAAATTCTAAAGCTCCGCATTGTTCTCAAGATTTAACTAATACATTCTTAGTTAAATCTTGAGAATTTATATTTAAAGGTTTTATAGGCAGGGAACTTAAAAATATTAATAAGTATAAAGGATTAAAAAATGTTTGCCACTAGACACAAGATTTGCGTACATTTCGAAGGAACACATTTTCGTATAAATTTTGAAAGCTGAATGTTGTCAAAAGCAAATTTATGAACAAATTGAAAACTTATGGCATGAGACTACCTTGTATAGTTATGCCATGTAGGCATATTTATATAAGGAAGTTTCACTTGAGAAATTAATAATGGCAACTCGTTTTAATATGGAATTCATACATCAATTTCAAATAAAATGAAAAACAAAATTCCATAAAATTGTTTGTATGTCGATTGACATATTTTCAATAAATTAAACAAAATATATTTTCTAAAGCTGATTTAACCATGGTTGTTACAACTTACATTTATAAGTTCAAAATATTTATAAATATAAGTGATTTAGTAACTGACCAACTACTGATCAAATTATATGGGTACATTACGAAGGAAGATATTTTCATTTAAATTTTGATATCAAAGGCAAATTTATGAAAAAATTGGAAACATATGTATGCATGAGACTACCTTGTATAATTATGCAATGGTTCATTACAATAGTAGCGCACTTGAGTTGTAAGTATTATACTGAAAAAAAAAAACATTTTATTTATTTTTAAAAATTCCTATTTGTAAAGAAATATATTTTCTATAAAAAATTTGGAAATGTAGGGAAATGGTAAAACTTTGCTCAGTTTTTACAAATAGTACAATCATGACAATGTTCCTTCGAGGGTATTGAACGAAATTAAATATGTGATCTTTATCTATAAGTGAACTGACTATCATCAATCCATACATATGCCTTTCTGCAACCTATGCTAAATTGCATTTTATTCGGGCAGATTTATAGTTGTTTGTGTACAATGGGACAAATTTGTGAAATGGTGCACCAAATTAGGGGCTTTGGTACACCATTTACATTAAATCGGATGAAAATATATATGGGAGCTATATTTAAACCTAAACCGATTTTCACGTAACTTAACACACCCCTTCGTCATAAAAGTTCCTAGAAGCTTTACTTAGATATTCTTTTTCGTAATTCCTCACTCTCTTAAAGTGTTTCCTAATTCGTGAAAATTCCTTTTCAGTTTTCTGTCGAAATATCGTTGGTAGTAACAAATCGCCTGCCAATAAGCCTTCCTATTCAGTGCTTCTTTGGTTTTCGTACTTTTGGTTACGGCAGCCAACAGCTGGGTTTCGATAGTAGTATTGGAGTTTCCACTCGTGACTACATTCTCCGCAGTTGAGGTCTGAGACTGAAGAACCGGCTATCTGCCGTTTGACCATTTGCAGCACTCATGTCTCAATTTAAATTGCTGAAAGGCACGAGGTCGCGTAACACCCCTGCCTTAGCACGTCATCCTTCAGCGGTGGAGACCACGAACCTTATGCATTTCTACATGGATACATGCTTGGCGATGTCATTCCGTTTGTATCTCATCGATATAATATTTTCAGACCTTACATGTCCACGATGTATGTCTATGTTTCTATAAAAAATTTGGAAATGTAGGGAAATGGTAAAACTTTGCTCAGTTTTTACAAATAGTACAATCGAAATAGTTTAAAATTATAAAGTTTTTAATAGCATATCGCCTATAACGACGGTATCCCAAAAGTCTCCCTAAAAGTTATTGCCTTTATTTGGCATCGTTTATAGCGACCAATTTCGCCGGAGCATTGGCCGTCGATACCGACTGTATTAAGTAAATAAAAACGAAAATGTATCACAACTGAATTAATTAGCGTATACTTTGTTGTAAACCCCTTAAATTTAGTACAGCCCCGAAACGGCGCGGCATATGGTTGGCAAGGCCATGCATCGCTGACCTGCTTCTTCATAGTTCGACTTTTACTGTTGCTTTGGCATTTGCAACAAATAATTTTAAAACTACCCATAAATTTTATTTTGTATTTTTTTTATTTTAAATTCTCTATTGGATTAAGATCCGAAAACTGCGTTGATCTTTTCTGCTTCTTAAACTTAATGCCATAGTTCTACATTTGTTGCTGCTTTAACATTTGCCACAAATCATTTTTAAGATCCGAAGACTGTGTTGAGTGTGATACAAAATAGCACTTAGTGTATTCGCTAGTATGTTTAGGGTAATTATCATGTTGAAATATCCATTTATTTGTTATCAAAAAAATATCAGTCGAAACAAAATTATGATTGAAGATAGTATTCCGAGTTTAGGGGACATACTGTCTGGGTCCTGGTCCATCATATGAGGCAATATTTATTTAATCCTGTGGTGGGCATAACTAAGTGAGAGTAAATGTAAGTGAGCGTAACTGAGAATTCATCATCAAAAATGGCTGAGGAAAAGAGAACAATTGAGACTCGGTTTTTTACCATTTACGCTAACGTATGATTTTGGGAAGTTTTGAGCATCAATGATTTAATCTGTCTATCATATTTTACATTAAGCTAGCTAGGTTGTTAAACCACTCATCGCTGTTGGGATATTTCGTGTGTTATTTATCGCTCTCTCTCTCTCTACTTATTTAGATCCAGCGGAATCCCAGCAACACAAACCCATAATGCTCAAATAATCATTCCTCGCCGCCCTGATGTTTTAAGGTGTTCGCCTTTAAAAGGTGGATCGACGTATATTTACAACTACATAAATGTGTAAGTAACATAAATAAAATTTAATATGTTTAATTATATTTATTATATTGACTTATTAGTTTCATACATACACACACATTTCGGTATAAATACAGGTACATTTATTACAGGCATACCATGGCATAACTATACAAGGTAGTCTCATTTGAGAAATTGATAAAGGGAACCCTTCTTAATATGGAATTCATATATCAACTTCAAATAAAATGAAAAACAAATTCCATCAAATGTTACGCACGGCGATTGGTAAATTTTCAACAAATTAAAAAAATATATTTTTTGTAAAGCTCCACATTGTTCTCAAGATTTAACTAAGACATTCTTAGTTTAATTTTGAGGATTTATATTTATAGGTTTTATAGGCAGGGAACTTCAAAATATTTATAAATATAATGGTTAATGATATAGCAATTTTTGCCACTGATCAATTTATATGCGTACATTTCGAAGGAAGATATTTTCATTTAAATTTTGATGTGAAAGGCAAATTTATGAAAAAAGTGGAAACACAAAAGAAAGAAATATATTTTCTATATAAAAAAATTGGTAATGTAGGGAAATGGTTAAACTTTGCTCAGTTTTTACAAATAGTACAATCGAAATCGTTTGAAATTATAAAGTTTTTAATGGCATATCGCCTATAACGACGGTATCCCAAAAGTCTCGCTAAAAGTTATTGCCTTTATATGGATGGCATCGATTATAGCGACCAATTTCGCAGGAGCATTGGCCGTCGATTCGAAACAAAATGATCATGGAAATAGGTGTATTTCATGCTTTAGAGTTTCGCTAATGTATTGAAGATAGTAATCCGATTTTGGGGACATACTGTCTGGTCCTGGTCCATCATATAAGGCAAGGCTAGCTCCGTTGTTAAACCACTCATCGCTGTTGGGATATTTCGTGTTTTATTTATCGCTCTCTACTTATTTAGATCCAGCGAAATCCCAGCAACACAAACCCCTGATGTTATAAGGAGTTCGTCTTTAGAAGGTGAATCGACGTACATTTTCAACAACTTAAATGTGTAAGTAACATAAATAAAATTTAATATGTTTAATTATATTTATTATATTGACTTATTATTTTCATACATACACACACACACATTTCTGTATAAATAGTTATATTTATTACAGGCATACCATGGCACAACTATATAAGGTAGTCTCATTTGAGAAATGGATAAAGGGAACCCATCTTAATATGGAATTCATATATCAACTTCAAATAAAATGAAAAACAAATTCCATAAAATATTACGCACGGCGATTGGCAAATTTTCAACAGATTAAAAAATATTTTTTCTAAAGCTGTTCCCAAGATTTAACTAATACATTCTTAGTTAAATCTTGAGAATTTATATTTATAGGTTTTATAGGCAGGGAATATAAAAATATTAATATGTATAAATGATTAAAAAA